CGGTTGCACTGGGATTGTTAATTGCAAAACGCGACTATTTTCTGACAGGCTTATTAACGGTTTGATTAACTGGTTTGATGTATTAAATTTGATTAAATTTAAGTATGCAGCAGAACTATCATGATGTCAAAGTAGATTAATTCAGAAATAAAATAAATATAACAGAGCAGGATAATGTAATATGTTTTATTTATGTTCAGTCAGTCTTATGTTGCAGACCAAGTTTCACAAACATACCGATTGAAAACCCCTTTAAAGTTTTATGTCGTACCTACTTTAATATTCAACAACTCTTCATTTTGTAAGGGTTTTCACACAATTTTCAATGTAAACATCGACTATTTCCTTAAGCAGTGTTAACCATTTGATTTTTTTAATGGTGAAGAATTATATTTTCTTTGCGGTACGTACTAAATTTTTAGATATATTTTGACCATCTTCGGCTTTAAGGGAGTAATTAATTAATATCGGTATTTTTGATTGAACGAAATAACTGATTCATTACTGCATACCAAGCCTGCTGATTGAGATTTACCCGAGACTGAAGTGGATTTGTGAATTGTAACACTGTAACATGGAGTGTTAATATAGTGAAGTAGAAATTTTAATACCTGGAACCCGCAGCAAAAATATTTCTGCTGCCATGTGCGCATGTCATTACCACAGGGTACAACAGGCTCCTTGCCTGGTAATTGTTAAGTTGTGTGGTAACAGTTGCAGTGCAGCAGTTGACTTCCTACTTTTTTTTTTTTTTTCAAATAGAACAAAACGTTCGAAAATGTAAGTACGAAACATGTTCGTGATGTCACGACTTGGACAGGCCCCTGCAAGTGGAAGTTAGAAAGAAAGAATGAAAGAAGAAGAAAAGGAAAAGAAATAGCCTACTGGATGTAACAGATATAATGTGTGAGACGTCTAGCCCTCAGTGTAAGTTATACGATATGCCATGATAATTTTCTTCAATTTGCTGACAAAAAGCAAAGAATTGGATGAAATTACAAAAATTGACTTTAATGCGTTTGCAATCTGGAGTTTTCGTCTTTGAGTCAGATGTTATATTCAGTGATGTTGGTAATCGTGGCCGAGTTAAATCTATGATTAGAATTTTTGTGGCTACAATAAAGTATTATGACATTTTAACTTCTCGCCAGCAAGCAAAAGTGACCTCATATTTTATAAAAAGATTATAGTCATCGGATATTAATAATATTAAACGTACATATTAAAATTTAAATTTTAATTTTAAAGGGATACAACCATGTACAAGTAAGATATAATAAATACGCGTAAGGCCGGCCAGACTGGAAAAGAGGGGGGGGGGACGGGAAACACGTGCATTAGCACAAGGCGGTGAAAATTAGTTCACTGGTGTACGAATTCGAAAATTATATTTAAATTTTAATGAAGCCAGGCGATTTCAAAAAGAAATGAGTAAATATTAGCCGATATCACTTTTTGTTTAATTACAGAGACGTTCAGTCTGAAGATATCCGTCTTCTGGGTTATTGCGCTGTGTAGTCTGGTCGATGTTAACCAACGAATATCGCCCTGATGACGGAGGCAGTATGACCTCTGAAACTTTGGTTAACATCGACCAGACTACACAGCGCAATAACCCAGAAGACGGATATCTTCATACTCACCGCTGTGAGAACCTCAAGTCTTACGTTCAGTCTGTTTGTTAAACAAAATTTCTTACTAAATATCTTCACTGTTACAGGTTTTGAGGTTAGATATAATTTTCGGACAACACCTGTACACAAGATTCCAGATGAAATTTCTTCCTTTACGAGTCATTAAGATTCCTTATCATTTAATTACTGTTGTTTTTGTATGTCGTTATCTGTTCATTTGTTATTGTTCTTCTTCAAATTTAATGATGAAGAGTACTTTTGCTTTATCTCGTATATAATTAACGCTGAAACATTAACAGCCTTAAATACTGTTGATGGTGAGAAAAAACTACTTCCGACACCTCACTGTTTGACCACCGGAAGAGTTGATATTTAAGATGTCTGTAATTACTCTTAGAATCGTGTAAAATACTGGAATAATTGAGCAGAAATAACATATGTAAAAGAATGCGTTTGCATCCATAAAAGTTCCGTTTTTAAGCTTGAAGCTCGTGTATTCCCGAATTTGCTTATGTAAACTCACTGGAATTTAGCCACATGTTAAATTTATAGAACAAAATTTTCGAAAATTTACATGTGACAGTGCTGATTATGTAGAGTGTTGGGTGAGATTTTCTGAGCAAGAGTTGTGCATGATACAGGCATTAAGAGAGCTCAGTCAGACTGCGGTCTAATGGGACGAATCAAACATAACACGAATTATATAACAATTAATTACCTGTGGATCATCCCGATGATGCATCTACTTCAGCATTCGAATCGCCTTTCCTTGTTTCTTCTTAGTCTTCAGAGATTACATGCTTGCGTGGAAATGAATTGGGTCTTTGGCGCCAGAAGCTAAGGGGTTTTAGGTTTTTGTTTTATATTTGCTGATCGACCAAGCTCTGTAATTCTTATTTTCTTGCTTGAAGTCAGCGAACTCAGCGTGAAGGCTGTCTAAAAACAAAGTTTTGATTTGAAATGAGTAATTTAATAAAGATGACTGCAAAAAAATAACTCATTCGCATGAAAGAATAAATCCAATGGTAGGCCAACAACATTATTACGGAACAGTAAAGTAACTTACAGGTTTATTGAACTGAAAATTGTTTTTGTCAAGGCGGGTTGAAAAATATTAATTTTTAATTTATTTAACCGAGTGTTCTTAGCATGTAATCACACTACACTGGGCCTTCCGGCTTCGTATTTGGCGTTTATTGCAGGCTACTTACATTTGTACAAAGAAATTATATTGTTCTATACAGTGCCAATAAGTAGACTACATCTTAAGTTACTAAACATCTTTCCAGGTGTTTACTAAATCTTAGGTTTTTACGGTGAGTAAATGAAATTAAATCAGCTACATAAGAATGAACAGTCGCTTATGGTTTCCGAAACGTCGGGAGTTTTCTTCGTATGAACCGTTACCGTGATTACAATGATAAAGACATTGTATGAAACGTCGAAGAATTATACCGTGTGTCACGGGAAGATGTCCCCAGAACTGAATTGCATATTTTGTGGGTTTGTTCCTTTGATTGTGTGCTGAATAACACATTAAAATAATAACAAAATCGTGAGTATAAATTATATATGATGCGTTACTTTAAATATTACAGATTTAATAAGTACTAAGGTCATGAACTTTATTCAGTCTTGGAATTGGCAATTCTTCTTGGACGAAATCGTTTTTTTTTTTTGAAAAAAATTAATATTCTCTTGGGTTAGAAATTTGACACTTCTGATAGCCCAAGAGATGTTTTATGTGCATTCAACACAAATGCTTAGTTCATTTGTTTAGAAAACGGGGCCTTGTTGTTGTTTTGTCTTTTTCATAAATCGACTGTTAGGTCATATAGCGAGAATGCTTTAACGACGTCTACTTCCTATGTTACAGTCATTTGGCCCATGACTGTAAATAAAATTACTTTACATTAAGTATATTCCGTGTCAAAGATATTAGTTCCTGCTTGGTGTTTTGAATGTTAACTTCGTGACACATACGTGACTCGTCACCACTACGACTTGGAATTAAATAGTTCGCAAAGTACATACTATTTCTATAATATTTTATTGGTTCATTGCTATAATAATTGGAAATTAACATTCTTCATGTAATTTTAGAAAATAGT